GCTAAAGTAGATGCGTTATAATTTTAAAAAATAATATGTTGTTATCGTTTAATTATTTGGCACAGATCTCTCACAAAAACAAATATGGAGAAATGAAAAAAATAAATAAAAATACTTGGTCTTCCCGTATATAACTGTATTACTCTTTTTTGCTACATGTTTTGATCATGAGACCTTCTTAAGGTTTATTTATAACGGTCATCCTATCATGATTGTTAATGGAAGATCTGTCCAGTAAGAGTTCTTGTATTCGTTGCTATTTAATTACGTATTAACATAACACGACGTAAAATATTAATATGAAAGAAACTGTTGTTTAAGAGGGGATCCCAAGCGCTACATAAGTTTAAGAACCCCTGCTCTACACTAAAACCTGTCAAATAACAGAATAATCTCGAACCTCGGCTAATCTGAAAGTAAATAATTAAACATTGATAGTTCCACTTTAATACACACAAAAGGGAGTTGAATCATCATGATAGCTCAGCTTTACTAAGTTCTTAAAATAGACTTACATTTATTAAAATTTCAAACTTTAATTCAAAATGATAATTTATTCTAATTATAATCAAACACCGTCCGCAACGTTGGCAACTCTTAGATCCGGAAGGAACTCATTTTAATTCAAATTTAAACTTGTATTCTTTTTTTTTAATTTCGTCTATCAAATAATCTCAATTTTATTCAGACTAAATTACTATAAAAATATTCTAGATTAGTTAAAGATGCAAATAAAGATTAACAGCAATGAAGTGGAGGAGGGGAAGCATTAATTGTCAGTAAATAAATAATCAGTTAATAAATTTGTCGATCAGAAATATTCATATTCAGGTATTATATTTACTTGAATTTGAATAGCATTTTAAGTACAATGTATCTATGTATACGAAAGATATAACTAATATATTAAAAAAAAATAATAATAATACAAAGAAATACAACTGTTGAGCACAATGTAGACAAAAATATGAAGCCACTATCTCCAAAACATTTTGATTAAGGGTTGTTTTATTTTTGCATTTTATGAAACAAAATGGTTAATATTTTTAAAAAAATATTTTATAAAACGTTGTTGGCCTCTCCTGAAAAGTTATATGATTTTAATTTTTTTTCGACTACATATGAGTTTTAAATCGAACATCTTATGTGTTAAATCAATATCATTTTTTTTTTTTCCAGAGTGGTTCTAACACACAAAATGTTCGATTTGAAAAGCTTATATCGTCGAAAAAAGTTAGAAGAAGAGGCTAAAAAAGTTTTAAAATATAATTTTAATTAAATAATTAGTTGTAAAGTTACCGATTTTTTTTTTCCGAAAAAAAAAAAATGATAACTTTAGAACTAATAAAAGCACGACAGGCTATGCTTTTAATTGAAATGGAGTAATTGACTTATCAAGGCGTTCGACACAATCAATTAAAAAAAAATTATAGGTTGGATCATTTCCACTGCATTGGATTCATTTTATTGAAATAACACCCACAACTGGATTGCGACTTCTGTTGACTTGTATTTGTTTATGTTTATTTCACAACCTACTGTTTAATTTGAATAGGAAGCAACTAATAAAAAATAAATCAATATCCATCTTGTAGAGATGAGAAAAAAATATACTGATTTTTATAGAAAATTGTGTAATCTCAAGATCATTTTACACCTTTGTAAAGATTTAAATTTTATATTTATATTTAATATATGGGTCAATAATAATAATAAAAACAATTACATTAAAATAATCATTTATGAAGAATGATTCATGAAGAAAATAAGATTGATCCGTAAAAAAATTGGTATATGTACACTATAACCTTAATCCCTTTTTTTTTTTTGGTTTGTTTACATATTTTTATAAATATACTACAAGACCTGAGAAACCCGATAAGATAGACAACGTCACCCGGGTGAACCTGATAAAAAATACACAAGAGTTTCCGACGATACTCACGTTGTATACCTTCTGGCCGAGGAAAGTCCCATTTCTGATGAGGTTGTAGTAGGTAAATGCGCTGCCGTAGTTCCGTACAGCACTACTGTTTATGGGATCCTCTTCTTTGGACATCACCCACTCCGGCAAGATAACGTGAATCCCGCTTATCACAGACTGGCGACGTATCTCTCCTCTTCACGTCAAGGTGGGGGAGGTTACGAAGGATGGGAGAGATTTGGGAAAAATATGGGATGATTACAAAGAGATAAGTGGCACGAAAATACCTGAATTTTTACCTATAATACCCAACAGCCAGGATAATACCGATAGCCGATAAAAACAATGTGGGGTTAGTGTTCATTGGACTTCTGAGAGAGGTAAGTGGTATAATTTTCACTTTAAAGTTCCTTTAAATAACTATACGTAAGTTAGTCAAGAAATTCAAAAAAAAAAAAAAAAAAAGTTTATACTATTATTAGAACAAAAATAACTACTGTATTAGCGTTTTAAGAATAGTAAGATATACTTGTTAGAACAGTATAAAAAACAAAACAAAATCATTGTTTGCTCATTCTTTTTTTCTTGCAACAAAGACTCATTTAGCGATTACTATATCAAACAACATGACAAAACCTAGCATACAACCATTACACGTCACAAATCTGTTTTTTAAAAGAGCTATTGGGCAGCAAGTTTAATCGGCATATCGTATTAATAATTTGGAATGTTTATTGCCCTCACCTAAATAATGGTATTATAATAGACTCCTTATTATTTTAAAAATATTTCATATATATTAATTAAATTTAATAAACTGATAAGAGCAAACGGATAGAGATTTGATAACTACAGACGAGGATAAATAACGTAACGCAAATAAAAAATCACGTAGTTTCGGGTGATGTAGAATCCAAAAATTAAGTTATTTATTTGTATTCAATTAAATTTTATTAATATTAAAATAATAATAACAAAAAAATCAAATAAATGATTAATATAATTAAATATTCTGAGGTTTGTACTAAATAAAGAAAATCGTGATTTATAAAATAATAGTTTTATTATTCTTATCGGGACTAATTCAATTTTTTAGGAAATTTAGGAAGCTTTAGAACCCTCATATGTTTAATGCACCAAAAATTGTGTAATTTTTGTGTTATTTGCAAATAAAATTCTGAAACGTTACTTTTTTCAGCCTTTATGCATAAGTTAAAATGTCTTTAAGGAGACTTTAGCCAAGTTTCATTAAAACCGTTTCAGCCGTTTTTACGGTATATTCTACAGCGACGTACGTTTTTCGTTTGCCTCTTCGAAACGAAAGGCCGGGTCGTAATGAGATGTAATTAAAAACAATTTTGAAATTGATTGCAACGTTGTATCAAAATTTCAAAGCGATCGGTGAAGTACATTCAGGGATTAGTGGTTTTGAAAAAACTAACATTTACATTTTTATTTACATACACTGTTTCCAAAATTGTTTAACTGATAACACTAAAAATTGCCAATAGAAATACAAATACAAAACAAAATAGAAAATCGGGTGAGAAACAGAAGAAAAAAGGACAGAACCGTTTTGCCTTTGCCTTATAATGGTTATGGAAAATTAATGTTTATCATTAATACATGAGAGATGACACCATAGATAAATCAGTAAAATGTCAGTAAAAGCCCTGAAGGATTATATGTTATTTCTTTAGGGTAATAATAACTTTTATAAAATAAAAAATATTTCGCATGATTATTATGCTGCAAATAATGCAATATTTGTAAACCTAGTAGTTTGTAAATAATTTTTATAAGTTTATGTTTTTAACAAAAAGCGATATGGTTGTCATCTTATTTAAATTTATTTATATTTAACTTATTGTTAGTTAAAAAGAGAAAATGACAACGCCTGACAATCAAAGAATAGATATCTTTATCAAAATAACAAAATAAATGTTTAATTGTCAACTGATGATAAAATTATCAAGAATTAAAACCATTTCAAGCCATCAACAAAACATATCTTTAACATTTAAGTAATGGAGCAATTTTTTTTTTTCAAAATAAAATAAATTTAAAAACTTAAAAGTTCATATTAACTTTAAATTTGAACATTAAATTAGAATGACCGAACCATCAATCAAAAATGATTGAATACATATTTTTAAAGATTTGCCGGTTTTTATTTAAATTATTTCAATAAGATTTTTTTTTTCAAATAAAAAATATATTTAATTTATTTGTATGAGCACTGCACTGTTTGTTCTTTTCCATTCTGTTTATTTTTTAACCATCCGGTTTATTTTTATTATTATAATTAATTCTAACCAATTAATATTTTTTTGTTTAGAGAAAGGGGAAAATAGATTAACATTTATGTAAATGAATTTTAGCAGCTTGGTAAAAATAAAATTAAATGAGAAAAATAGATCACAATTATAAAACTCCAAAAAATATTTTCATTAGGTTGGTATAGATTGTTCAAAAATATTAACGAAATAAACTAATCAATATATTGACAGGCAATAGTTATGTCAATGTTAAAGCTGAAATGATTTGTCTCAGTAAAGTTGTGTGAATGACACATAAAGCTTTCCAAACTAATAGACGTAGTACTGTTAAAAGTAAATTATAAATATATATATATATATATATATATATATATATATATATATATATAAATCTAGTCGATGAATATATAGAAATTTGACTAGAAGCAAACGCGAATATTTTCTTCAATAAAAAAATAGTCACAGCTTAATGGAAATGCCGAAATCGTGTAAAAACTGGATATTTTCTAAAATAATAAATATCTATAAATGTATGAAAACTTAAAACCAAATCCTTTAAAATAGATTTAAATATAATTATATTATATTATAGCACTGATGCACTTTAACGAAAGATCTTGGAATACCCTTAAGTTGAATATAAAGGATGTTTAAAGGTCGAGAAGAGATATTTAATTTTTCAATGAACCAATCACTCATAAATTAAATTAACCAAATTAATACTCCGAGGTATAATAATTATAAAAAAAGAATATATGTTATATTAATGATGTAAGATGTAAAATTTTGCAACTTACCAGTTTTGAATTTGTAATAATATGAAGCATCATTATTCCCTAGCATATGAGACGAAATAATAAATGTTTTCCGATGGAATAAACGCAGGACACTACTATCTTTCGCGGTAGGTTTCGCTATACATGCGTCGGATGTTAGAACTACAAATTCGCCGACTAAACTAACTACACTATCTCGAAAACATAAGGTTAAACATCCATTAAAAAAAAATTAGATAAAAAAACAGGAGGCGCTGTCATAACAATAATCATTATTTAACTGTTTAAATGATCACTTAATAATATTCACGTTTCTTTTTATTACACAATTTTGCATGGTTGTAAATAAATAACTACAGAATTAGCTCGCTGAAATGACAGCTCATAAATTGTGCACTTGTACGCCCTTGATTCCCTGTTTGGATGCTTCCCCAATCTTTAACTAGTGATTATTTATAAAAATTAAAAAAAAAAAAAATCTAATTTGTAACACCTGTCTCTCGTAAGTGGTAGGTAAGTGGTCAGAAACAGTTAATACCAACATATTTAATTCTTTTTGGGGAAGGGAGAGAGTAAAATAATATTATTTAATTCTAATCGCTACCTCCAGTGATAATTCTTTTTTGTTTCTATATTTTGTATTAAAAGAAATATACCTAAAATTTACAAACGCCATTTGATTGCTGCTAAAAATGTTAAATACTTTTATAGAGAAAATTTACTTTTTTTATGATGTAACTATCGTATAATTTGAATATTTGTTAAATGTTTTTAATTTATACAGGAAGAAAATATTTCATGTAAAAATATAAGATTTTTCAAAAGAATTTATGCGGCCAACTTTGTAGAATTTTCTATAATCTTCGAAACTTGTTATAAATTTTTAAATGTCAATTTATTTATTCAAATTCAATAAAATAGAAACCAATATTTTAATATAAATTTGTAGTTTTTTTTTAACCGCTTATTAGACCTTGAAAAATATTTTGAGCAGCGAGTTCGGGTAAAGATGTTCTGATATTTCTAAATTTTAAAACAAATCAAATTTTAAAAGTAGTGCAAGATAGATTGGCATTAATTAAAATGTAGTTTCGTTACGCAATTCTATAATCGAAAATTTTTTGTTCACGGTTTCCAGAGACTCCAACCCAACTGTAAATTAGCGTATTTTCTTAAACTGTGTGACAATTTAGGATAAAGATAGGATCCTAACAAGTGAGGGTGATGACAAAAACACGGAAGAAGGGACGGGGGAAAAACAATACGGCGGAACCCCTCCTCACGATATATTTTATTTCAGTCAGTAATAATAAAATATGGATTAAGGCTTTATGATTAAGAAATTTAAAACATAAAAAAGTTTTATGATTAAGATACCACATTATAACGAGGATTCATTGTTTCACATCAAATACAATTCTAAGGTGACTTTAGACATTTCACAAACTACGTAAAACACAAATATTTAAATGTTTTCCCCCTGTTTATTATTTCCGAGGTTTTTCATTAGTTGTCGGTGACAAGATAAATAAAAAAAAGAAAAAAAGTTGGCGTTAGCGCTAAAGTCGCTATTAGTTAAGTTAGATAATTGTGCTTCCGATAGTTTGTGAAATGTAACGCAACTTTATTTCATGGGTATTATTTTACGAAATCGTTTATTTTGTCCCTCTCCCTTCACCTTTCACCACTTTCTAATGGCGGACCTGCAAGACAAATTCAAGGTTTTACAAAAAGTGTGCGTAACCAGACAAAGTTCCGTTAAGTTCTAGAAGAAAATAGGAATAAAATATATACATATATATATTATTTGGGGTGAAATTCATTCTCTTCCCCCAATGGAAGTTTAGTAATCCATAAAAAGTTTTGAAAAAATTAACAATAACTTACTTGGAGCAATAAGTGTGCCATCCTACAGGACTTTTACAGGCTTCTTTAAAAAATTATATCTTCAATGTGACTACCAACAATTGAGATTATTTAATTGAATTTAGATATTGTTTATATACGTGCCAGATAAGATTTTTGATAAGAAGTATGAGTAGTATCGAAACTTCAATTCATGCATTGATGTATGCTAATAATCAGTATTTAGAGTTGAGAAAAACTTTAACTAGAAAACATTCAAACAGAAAATCTTCCACAGGTATGAATATCTTTTTTCATTTTTTAACAATCTAGGATACAATTTTTTTTTTCAATTGTTTGGAGTAGAATACAATTTAATAGGATGGTGTAGTTTAATTTCAAATGTCAAATACCCATATTACAAAATATTCGGAGAAGAATACTGTTTTCTGTGTATTGAAATAGAATGAACTTCTAATAATTTTCAAATAAATATGAAAACAAATGAACAAGGAAAAAAAAATAGAAATTCCACTAGATAAAAAAGAATTTAATAGACAAATAAAGTTTTCCAAGTACTTAAAAATGTTTTCATTAAAATTTGAAAACTATAACAAAACATGCCAATGTTTTTAAATTAATGAGTTGTGGAAAAGTTAGGTAGTTAGGCATTTTAAAATATTCAAACACTTGGTGTTTTGCTAAATTAGGAATAACTCTATTTTAAAAGTTTCCTTGGAAATTCAGTGCACTCCCAGTATTTAGAATTCCAAATATTTTCTCTGTAATGCCTATAAATCTTTTGGCAAAGTATAAGGATAGCCCTACCAACACCACTCAGCCAACATGGGACAGATTTAGAAACCAATGTCTTTGCAGTGTTTATTGAACAGTATGGAGTAACACATACTAATTACTCATTTCATTTAAACATGACTAAGCTTCTTAACACATGAGAAAAAAACTGATGTCACAAAGCACGCCTGACTTAGGACAAATGAAATCACCTTTCCCAAACCAAATTTTGAAGATGATAATTTTTCTTAGAGCTGTTAGTAAATAAAGTGCCTGCAGCCTGAAATTGATGAAATAGCATAGCACAAATGTTGAAAAAAAATATTCGGGGAAAAAGTTGGTGAGTAATGTGAACTGCTAAAAAATTTTCTTTGGTTTCTCAAGTTATAATTTTTATTTTTTATTTTTATAAATGTAAATTTGGAAATATTAAATTTTGTTTTAACAAATGATAAATCTATCAAATATTTAAAATAACATTATGATTTTTTTTTTTTACAAATTTAATGTTGATTGGTTAGATATTGTGTGAGCTGTAATAATCAAAATATAAAAAATAAAAATGATAACCAAAAAAATATAGATATCTTTTTTGGATTTTACAGAAGAAATACAAATAACAACAGTTGAGAGAGATTGTTATAATTTATAATAATCTCAAGTTTCGTTAGCATTGGAAAAGACACAATAATAGGTTTTTAAATTTTGTTTATAACATGGATGAACCAAATATCTTCCATTTCCTATTTCTTGTTCACAAACCTACTTCTAAAACATAAAAATAACTTAGTGTGTACCTAATGAATAAAAGTAAGTCTAATTTTCATCGGTCATATCTATACTGTCTGATCTCACTTAACTGGTGTACGTTTTGGATGAAGTAAGTTTAATTTATTTAAAATTTAAACAGTTTATAATGACACATTTGATTATTAAACTTGATAGTACAGAACAAAAGAGGGATTTTTATACCATGTCAAGATAATTATGAACTTATCACTATACAAAAGTATTTTATAAACTAGAAGCACAAAACCTATTAAAGCTGTTCAATGATTCTTGACATATTAACACATGATATTTAGTACCCACAAAAACCAAATGCTATGTATTACATAGAAGCTGGTGTGCATTGCATAGAATAGGTTTATAACATAAATGAAACATGTTTAATAATAAATATAAAAAAGGAGGCTTGCATAGGTTAGGATCCATTCCATGTTGAGCTAAGCAAAGAAATAATCCAAGCAGAGCATATCATTGAATCATATTTTAGAAAATGGAATAAAATACTGGTTCCAACACAAGCAGAGCTGCTGTGGGCGTAGGAAGGTCATAAATGTTGAAATATTTATTTAGTTCAAGAATACCCTGTACCATTTCTGTACAGCAAAAACTATCTTGATTATATAAGAACTAAATTATTGAATTGTGGGATCAAATAAAAGGATAATAATTACATGTAAAAGTAAATTTCATAACACAATGAAATAAAATACAAATGAATACAAAATAGACCACACATAGGCACGAGGAATTTTCAATTTTATAAACCATATGAGTGGCTTCATATCAAATACGGATACCTGTCATTTTCAAAAAGTAGAGAAAAAGTTAATTTTTGTTTTATAGGTTCAACTCAAACTGTTTTTGATGATATTATTTAAGAATGTTCAAGTTGAATCATGAAAATAGACCATTAGATTTGGTTTAAATTGAAGCTATGTAACAAAAAAGATAGATAGCTTTTACTTATAGATGTTAAACAAATGGAATTAGTATAACCAGGCTAATAAGACAATTTATTTTCGTATTTAAATTTTCCATTTTTATAAATTTTCAGAAATTCAACAATTACAAAAATGTATTAAATTTTATTGAAAAAAAGCTTTGTAAAAAGGCATTATTCAAATGCAAATCCCAAAAGCTTTGTCCCACCTCAGCCCACTTTAGAAGTTATTAATATTTGAATATAATTATTCCACATGCTTGTAAAAAGTATAATATTCGTTTTTGCTTTTAGTTGTGTATATATATATATTACATATAATAATAATTTAATAAAGCATTTACTAGAGAGAGTCATGATAGCCTGCTCATAGATATTACCCAAACTAAGTAGGTAGTAAAAACATAATAAAGACAAAATTATAAACTAATTAATATATTGAGTACAATGTCTCAGTACTTTAAAAATAAAAATGATTTTATTAAATATATGATGATAAATAACACAATAATTATGTAAAATGGAATTAGTTGAGGTCTGGCTAGTGTATATGTATATTAATATAATATAAAAAAAAAAAATTATATATATATATATATATATATATATATATATATATATATATATATATATATATAAATTATGGAGAGTTATAACCACAGGATGAGGATATAATCAACCAAGTAATATTTGGTTAATTGATGCTTTTCTTAAAACATGATTTGCTGACAGAGATAAAATAAGCACATTTGTAAGTTTATTCTGAGCATTTATAGGCGACAGTAGCTATAAATAAACATTTCCACTAATGTAACAATAATGACTATTAAACACTTACTCGAACTTCAAACAGTCTCTCTTTTATTTAATAGAGCTTTTAAAATCACACTTAAAATGGAGACTTAATAAAATTAGAACACTTTGTAAATAGTGATGTTTGATTCAATATACTGTAGAACATATGATAGAATTGAAATTTTATAATAATTTTTATTTCCTATAGTTTCTGTTAAAAAACTAAAAATACCTGGATGTAAGAACAGAGTATTTGATTACAGTAGTATTAAAATTACATGCTATAGGAAACAGCATAAGTTATAAGTATAGTTTTGGCTAGCTACCAAATAATAGGTGTAATTGTCTCAGAATAAAGCTTTGAATATTTACTTTCAATGTCCTATAATCTGTTTAGAGAGAATTGTAACTGAAAATGAGAGATGTTGAAGCAGAGCATTTATAAGGAACAGATAGAGAGGATGTTAATGTATAAGTTCTTCAGAGAATAAACTAACTAGAAATTGTATATGCAATATGTG